CGACTCTGGGAGTCGCGTTCCCACGTGCCTCTCTCTCTCGGGATTGTACAGCCTGCTCCGCCTCTCTGGCCCGACTCTGGGAGTCGCATTCCCACGTGCATCCGTGTCTCGGGATTGTGCAACCCCCTCCGCTTCTCTGGCCCGACTCTGGGAGTCGCGTTCCCACGTGCCTCTCTCTCTCGGGATTGTACAGCCTGCTCCGCCTCTCTGGCCCGACTCTGGGAGTCGCGTTCCCACGTGCCTCTCTCTCTCGGGATTGTACAGCCCGCTCCGCCTCTCTGGTCCCGGCCCCTGGCCCTGCTGCTCATTTGATGCTTTGGCCCGAGTCCCGGGTCTGGTCCTGGCCCTGGCCCGGGCAACCCTCGGCTCGTCAGAAAGGACAGGGATCGCCTTGGTCTCTGGAGGGTAAGATAGAACACTGCTCCGGGGTTTCCTTCCTTCCTTCCTTCCTACTGATTTTTTTTTTCTTCCGGTCACCCAATCTGGGGTATATCTCAGGCTCTCCTCGTGGTCCCCCATCCCTTTTTGAGATGGGATGGAGAACTAGTTGGGCTAGATTATCACTGTTTGTCAACTTTGGCCACTTTTAAGATGTAGGGATGTGTCTTGAACTTGCCAAGGTTGAGAAATTCTGGCTGAGATGAATGGTGGCTTGCCAAACCTTCCTGGCATCTCCTTGTGGTCTCCTATCCGTAACCTGCTCACTTCTTTCCTGCCCAGGCTTTCTTACATGCTTGGGATGTCCTCACGGTCTCTCTCCCTGGCTTTAAAAAAGCTGAGCAGCTTGCTTCTTCCCCGTCCAGCCTTTTCTCCATCCTTGGGATCTCCTCGTGGTCTCCCATCCCTGGCCTAAAAGGCCAACCGTCTTGCTTCTTCTCTCCTTCCTCTTCGTCTTTCCACCTGGCCTCAACTGCTCTATGCTCTCCCTCTCCCTCCCCTTCCCCCCACCTCCAGGTGAAGCCTCCAAAAAGCTGATAATTGCCTCCTTTCCCCCCCCTCACGCGCCCGCTAATGGACTGATCCCCCGCTGCTCTGCAGCCTTGACTGACAGGTCTGGTGACTGATGCACACGCCCCCTGTCCTGTGGAGGAGACATGTGGCGGGAGGTGAAGAGAGGCATAAATAAGATGAGGGGGGGGAGTAGAAAGAGACAGAGACAGAGGAAGAAATGGAGGGAGGGAGGGGGGAGGAAAGGAAGGAAGGAAGGAAGGAAGGAAGAAAGAAAGAAAGAAAGAAAGAAAGAAAGAAAGAAAGAAAGAAAGAAAGAAAGAAAGAAAGAAAGAAAGAAAGAAAGAGGGAGGAGGCCTTCAAAACCAGCCAGGAAAGGAAGAAAGGGAGGGAGGGAGAACGAAGGAAGAAAGGAAAGAAAGAAAGAAAGAAAGAAAGAAAGAAAGAAAGAAAGAAAGAAAGAAAGAAAAAGAAAGACTGCAAAATCAGCCAGGAAAGAAAGGAAGAAAGGGAGGGAGGGAGAAGGAAAAAGAAAGAGGGAAGAGAAAGAAAGAAAGAAAGAAAGAAAGAAAGAAAGAAAGAAAGAAAGAAAGAAAGAAAGAGAAAGGGAGGGGGCCTTCAAAACCAGCCAGGGAACGAAGAAAGGGAGGGAGGGAGAAGGAAAGAAAGAAAGAAAGAAAGAAAGAAAGGGGGCCTTCAAAACCAGCCAGGGAAGGGAGGGAAAGAGGGAGGGAGAAGGAAAGAAAGAAAAAAGAAAGGAAGGAAGGAAGGAAGGGAGGGAGGGGCCTTCAAAACCAGCCAGGGAAGGAAGGAAGGAAGGAAAGAAAGAAAGAAAGACTACAAAATCAGCCAGGGAAGGAAGGAAGAAAGGGAGGGAGGGAGAAGGAAAGAGAAAGAAGGAAGAAAAAGAAAGAAAGAGAAAGAAAAGAAAGAAAGAAAGAAAGAGAAAGAAAGAAAGAAAGAAAGAAAAGAAAAGAAAGAAAGAAAGAAAGAAAGAAAGGGAGGGAGGGGGCTGCAAAACCAGCCAGGGATGGGCAGAAGGGAGGGGGCACAGGACACGGGGGGAGGGAGAAGACTGGGCAGGTTGGCAGGTGAGCGAGCCACCCCCCCCAAAAAAAAGCCCGCCTGGCCGCATGTGAGCGATGCCAATTAAGATAGCAGCGGCAGGACGTGGCGCGCCAGCCGCCGTGAAACGCAGCGCACACCCGGAATAGCAATCAGCCCCAGGCAGACGAAGTTTAAACTCCCCCCCTCACACACTCCAAGCTCATCCCGTTGCGACCATTTGGGGGGGGGCATCCTATTCTTTCCACAGTTTCCCCCCCCCCGAGAAAGGCAGGGGCCCGGGTCTTTCTGCCCTTCTTTGCAGCACTGGAGACCATGAGCGAGAATAGATCCCCCCCCACCCCGCCGTTNTTTCCCCAGTTTCCCCCCCCCCCCGAGAAAGGCAGGGGCCCAGGTCTTTCTGCCCTTCTTTGCAGCATTGGAGACCATGAGCGAGAATAGATCCCCCCCGCCGTTTTGGGTCCCTTGCCCCCCCCTCCAAGAAGCGGCTGGCTTCGGTTCTCTCACATTTGCACAATTGCTGGACTAGTGCAATAGACCGAGCCCCCCCCCCGGACTGAGTTTGTGCAAGCTTCTGAAGTGAACTTACTAACTAACCCAGGTCGGCACTAATTAAACTGACTGTGTGAACCCAATCTTGGCCAGCTTAGGGTCTGCAATGGCAGCATCCTGCATCTTCGGTCCCGTTGGAGGGTCTCTGAGGATCCCTGATCCACGCAAGTTGGGGAACCCGTAAGCCCACCGTCTCTCGGCAGCATTCAGATGTAGCTGGCTGGCTGGCTCCATAACCTGGTTTGGCTTACTGATCTGGCACCGAGTTTCCTGTATAGCAAGACTCGGAAGCAGCGTGGCCTGGCCTATCCTGGTTTATACTGGCCTCCGGCTTCCTGTAATGGATGCGACGTGGCCATCTGTTCCCTTCCGACATTGTCTCGCTTATGTGAGGTCATGTTGGTTTATTAGGTCAAGAGAAGCTGGGGGCTTGTATCTAGGATTTCCCACCATAGTGGTTAATTGTTTCACCTTTCGAGGCCCTGTGATTCCTTCAGCGGGATCTGTCTTTGATCTTGAACCGAACAAAAGAGGCAAAGCTGATATCGCTCAAGCTGGTTTATTGGCACCCTGGTTCCCTTCCCCACCTTACAATTTATCCACAGCGTGCTCCATGCTCAAAATCGCGTAGAATGATGGATTTCTCGATCAACATATTTCATGGTGACTGCTAAAGGGTAACAGAATAATAGTTGGAAGGGACCTTGGAGGTCTTCTAGTCTAACCCCCTGCTCACGTAGGAATAGAATAGAATAGGATAGGATAGGATAGGATGGGATGGGATGGGATTGGATGGGATAGAATAGGAATGACTAGAATAGAAATAAGGACTAGAGAATAGAATGGAATGGAATAGAATAGAATAGAATAGAATAACAGAGTTGGAAGGGACCTTGTAGGTCATCTAGTCCAACCCCGCGCCCAAGCAGGGGACCCTACCCCATTTCTGACAGAAAGCTTCCGGTGATGAAGCTCCCACAACTTCTGGTGGCAAGCTGTTCCATTGGTTGATTGTTCTCACTGCCAGAAAATTTCTCCTTATTTCTTGGTTGAATCGCTCCTCAATCAGTTTCCATCCGTTATTCCTGGTCTGGCCTTCAGGTGCTTTGGAAAATAAGTTGACCCCCTCCTCTGTGTGGCAGCCCCACAAATACTGGAAGACTGCTGTGGGTGTTAGTTGGTCTCCTCGTGGGGATCCTCTCCATGCTCTTCAGCTGGGGACTCCAAGCCGTGATAAACCTGGCTCAGATCTTCCCGCGACACGCAGACCCATCCGTCGGGCCGGACGTGGTAAAGATCCACGTTGCCACCGGAATAGGCATCCCGGTGGGCAGCGTGACCCACTGCTTGGCGGGCCAGCCTGAACGCCTCCGCCCGGGGCAAATCATAACGATAGGTGCCGTCCAGCACCCCGTAGGCGTAAGTGGATCCCGATCCCACGGCCAAAACGTCGCCGGAGAAGCAGGTCCCGTCGCTGTAGACGTAGTGCAAGCCGGGTCCCTGGCCGTCCCAACCGCAGAGCAAGGTGGCCACGCAGAGATCCTTCTGGGCGCATCCCCGCAGCATGAAAGCTAGCAGCTTGGCCGCCCCGGCGACGCTGGGCTGCTGCCCTTCCGACAGGTGCCTCAGGCGGAGCGCACACCGCAGGAGACGGAGCCAGGCAGCGCAGTCAGCCGAGGTCCCCGACGTGGTGGCCAAAAGATGCCGGTGGAGCGTGATGACCTTGCGGGAAGATGGATCAGCCACCAGCCCCGCGCAGGAGGAACGGGTGTCCGCAGCCACCACCACCCCGTGGCTGCAGCGGAAGGCTAGGGTGGTGGTGCCGTGGGACAGCAGGAAAGGACGGGGGACCCCGGGCCCGCCGCACGGCAGCTGAGGCCAAGAAAGACCCCTCGGAGGGTCCCTCTTGCTGACAACGTCCTGGAGAGCCATTTGGGAACGAAAACCAGAGGAGGAGGAGAATTTACAGAATGAACCCTCTTTGCTTGGAAGGGGACAGGGGACTGGATCAACGGGAGGATGGAGAGGGGAGCGTGACGCTGAGGAGGCGAGGATTGTGTTACTCGGGACGCGGGGCAAGATTTTAAGAGAAGAAGAAGCAGCGTTAAGTTGCACGCTTCGGACGACAAGTTTGGGCCTGCGTCAGATGCTCAATTCTCTCTCCAAAGGGGATGTTTCCATGTTTTTCATCTAAAGGGGGGGGGGAATGTGATGTGACCCCGGCTTCGAGCTTTCTTAAAGAGGGGGGATCCTTGCTGCTCTCCGAGCTTGCTTGTTTTCTTGCAGACGTTTCATGACCCTAGCTAGGTAACGTCATCAGGCAGGCGTTGTTCGCTTCTCCTGAGGCATCGTGAAGAATGTGCAGTTTAGGGAAAATGAAAAGACCTTGGAAAATGAGCTAGATACTCTAAAAAAATAGCCAGAAATATGAAATTAATTTAGAAGTTGGGGATTCACTAACAAATACATCACACTGAAGTTGTTGTGTTAAGGCAGGGGTAGGCCACCTTGGCTCTTTTATGACTCGTGGACTTCAACTCCCAGAATTCCTGAGCCAGCATGAGGGAAACTTTGGCCCCTTCATGACTCGTGGACTTCAACTCCCAGAATTCCTGAGCCAGCCTGGCTCAGCTTGGAAACCTCTCCCTTTCCCCTCAGCGTGGCTGGCTCAGGAATTCTGGGAGTTGAAGTCCATGAGTCATAAAAGAGCCAAGGTGGCCTAGCCCTGTCCTAGCTCTAATCAGCTCCTTATTCCTCTGTCTGAGCCAGCATGAGGGAAACTTTGGCCCCTTCATGACTCGTGGACTTCAATTCCCAGAATTCCCGAGCCAGCATGGCTCAGTTTGGAAATCTCTCCCTTTTCCCTCAGCGTGGCTGGCTCAGGAATTCTGGGAGTTGAAGACCACGAGTCATGAAGGGGCCAAAGTTTCCCTCATGCTGGCTCAGGAATTCTGGGAGTTGAAGTCCACGAGTCATAAAAGGGCCAAGTTTCAAGACCCCTGCTTATGGACTTCTACTCCCAGAATTCCTTAGCCAGGCATGCTAGCTCAGGAATTCTGGGAGTTGAAGTCCACGAGTCATCAAAGAGCCAAGGTTGCCTATCCCTGCGTTAAGGGAAAAAGTGTAAAGGGTGTGAGTTATGCTGCAACGGTTGTAAGTGTCAGAAATGGTCATAAGTTACTTTTTTTTTTTTAGTGCAGTTGCAACTTAGAACCATCACCAAACGAGCGGTGGTTAAGCCAAGCGCTACCTCTATATTCTGTTGTAACTTTGAACCGTCACTAAATGACCTGTTGAGGACTAGCTGCGCTCTCTTTTAAAAGAAAAACCTGATCTTCACAGCGACCAGGCGGAACTGGGAATTCAATCCTCAGCTTTCCAGAGACCCAGGTCCTTCGGGAGACGGGGGCGGAGCAAAACCCAGACAATGAAATAATGTCTTCTTTTATTTTTTGATCCAAGGGTGTTTTTGATTGGCACCCACCGCTGAAGTGACAGATTCCCTCTTGGGGAGGGGGGGACGACTTGATTTGTACTCTCGGGACTTCTGGAGACGCCATTTTAAGGACAATCTCGAGCAATCCGGCAGCGGCGTTTTGGTGCCCAAAATATCTTCGCTGCACGCAGTCTTCAATGTCACTGGGGTTAGCTGTCCTGAAATTCAAGGACAACAGCGGGAGAATCAGAACACTTTTGATTCAGGGTTGACGTTCCCTGGGGCTGAGACGGGTGTTCCCAACCTAAACAAGGATTTGTCCTCTCCCCGAGGTGATTCCTGGCTTGTCCCTTCCTCACCTGGCCCCAAAGCAGTCCTGTCTTGTTGACAGCTGTCAGTCTTAACCAGGCCCTCTGCGTCTCCTACCTCCTAAAGGGGACGCTGAATGGTCTCCACCCCACCCCACCTGCATCCGTCCTTCCAGAGATTGGGAAACAGCGTCCCTAGAAAGAAGAAAGTTGTACGGGTCACAGATGTGCTGGAATTGCGTACCCGATAGCTGAAAACAGCTGGGAGAATTTGCACACTTCATTTGCACTCCAAAATCCCGTGGAGATTCTATTGAATTTATTCTAATTGACTTCTAAAGCAGCTTTTAGTTAACTTCAGGGGAACCGTTCCAAGAATTTAAAAGCCTGGAGACTAAAACATAGGAAGGACGGTTGCAGGATTTGGGAATGGCCAGTCTAGAGCAAAGAAGGACTAAGGGGGACATGATAGCGGTATTCTGGTATTTGAGGGGCTGCCACAAAGAGGAGGGGGTCAACTTATTTTCCAAAGCACCAGAAGGCAGGTCAAGAAACAATGGATGGAAACTAATCAAGGAGAGAAACAACCTGGAATTAAGGAGAAACTTCCTAACGGTGAGGGCGATTAACCAGTGGAACAGCTTGCCACCAGAAGTTGTGGGTGCTCCAATACTGGAGGTTTTTAAGAAGAGATTGGACAGCCATTTGTCTGAAATGGAATAGGATCTCCTGCCTGAGCAGGGGGTTGGACTAGAAGACCTCCAAGGTCCCTTCCCGCTGGATTCTGAATGATTGATTGAAACTGAGATCTTGGCTAAGTTGTGAAGCTGTTCCAGATGTTGGAAATTGGGGTTGTCAGAATAATAATTTGGGGTTCCAAGTTCAGCCAGGGCGGTGCAAAAATAAACACGAGATCCAGACAGCTGTGAGGAAAGAAGAAATATTTATTTCCTAAAAGCAAATAGTTTGCCTTTAGGGGCAGCTGCAGAGAAATGGGGTAGAGTGACAGATGTTTATAGGGAAGCTTGTCCAGGGTGCGGAAGTGTGTGGAAGTGACACTTGAGAGGCAAGTGTGTGTTATGTATGTATTCTTGTGAACATGCAATCCCGTTGGGAAACCTAATTTTATTTGTGTTTACAGACTTTATCCCTTGATATGTGGATTAGGTCTGGGTAATTTATATAATAATAATAATAA